TACGGAAGCTGCTGTCTTTCATTATCCTTCTCTCATCTCTGTTTCTGAGATGTCATAGTGAGAGATGTCCCCACTGCTTGGGGACTAAGTCTTTTTCTAGAAGAATAAATATGACCCGTCGTGGCCTGAGTGTCTAAACATCAGCCTGTTTGGGGGAACTGCAACATCATTTCTTAAGTCTTCATGAGTGGGTAACTCGTCCCCAGTGTCCTCATTTGAGATGTAAAAACAGGAGTGGAGCAGCAACAACACATAGGACAAAGGTACACCTCTGGAGGACAAAGGAAAACTGGGTCACTTTGTCCCGGTTTCTCTCAGTTCCAGACACAGACGATAAGTGGTCTCACACACCCCCATCCCCATCCGGCACCTGCAGGTGCCTGGCTCCTCCAAGTCGACAAGGAGGAGGACAGCAGGCCCCTCCTGAGGTGTGGGATGAGGGTCCTTGAAGAGGCAGTTCTGGGCTCCTTTGGTTACTATCTGTGTTCCTCTGAAGGAAGCCAAGGAGAGGCATTGAAACAGAGGCCCAGGCCCTGACACTGTGGAAGGAACCCATCAGAAAGCTGCCTGAGTCTGAGCACAGTAATAATTTTTGAAAACAAGGAGGAAATAACTTTGTCCTTTGATGTATGTATGGAGTACTGGATATATTTTGGATCTATATAATAACTGGAAAAAAATCATATCCCAGTATTATTTGGAATACATTTATGATGCTGTGAAAAAGGAAATAAGTGTATTTATAAAAACTCCTCTAGTCATACTCAGTACTGCAGTTGATAATAATTTAGTAATAGAATGCAGAATCCAAGAATGGCAGTGCCCATAAACCCAGCAGAGGTGAGGAAATCCAAGAGTTCAGGGTCAGCCTGGGCTACATAAAACTCTCAGAAGAACCAAAAATTGGGCCTGTGAGATTTTTCATCAGGTGAAGGCATTTGCTGCACCTATCCATACACATAGACACAGATGAACATGCACACATATACATATAGACACAGGTGAGCATACACACACACACACACACACACACACACACACACACACACACACACACATACACACACACACCAAATAAATAAATAAATAAATAAATAAATAAATAAATAAAT